AAAAATACAATACGCACGTGACGATGAAAGACCACATTTTTGCATAAACCTGAACAACATAGATAATGAGGTTTATTGTGATTTTATTGTAATGCTAATGAGTTTCCAAACCATCTCCTCTATTAACTATGCATGCATGAAAGCAGTTAAAATTACTACTAAATTTTCTTTGACTTTGCGTTCAAAAGTATTAAATTTGGAAAAAAATATGTAAAATTAATAACAGCTGTTCATCTTAACGGTCATACAATGTTATACTCTGATCTAGTACATCTGATTTTGGATATATTACACAAAATGTGATCTGTTCAAAAGTACTTAATTTTGAAAAATTTAGTAAAATTAATGACAGCTGTTCATCTTAAAACGAATATTTAACAGTTATTCCACTCACTCTCGTCGAATATGAGCGATAGTCGATTCGGCGCGTCTGTTTTATTATATATACACAAGGTCTGGATATGAGTTATTCTGCAATCTGATTGGTTCTCTACTAGCAGGACATTAGCTCATATCCAGCTAGTAGAGAAAAACAAAATGGTGGCTCAAACTAAATTTCCGACGTTTCGCAAACGAGAAAACGGCAAGTTGTTCGCTTTTTATAGCCTTTAAGGATTAAAAACACAATAAAAAAACTCCCACAAATTGTTTACAGGTTAGCAAATGAATTTTGAACATTTAAAATGGTTAAAAATATATAGTTTTGAAAAAATAATCGGCCGAAAGAGCGAAGATAAAAACATAAACAAAATAGAAAAATATTGAAATTATTCGAAAAGCAAAGTCTGTGAATTCAGACCTTGTGTAGATAATAATTAGTGTTATCAAGCTCTGATCTAGTACATCTGATTTTAGACAGTCATATTACCCAAAATGTAATCTGTTCAAAAGTACTTAATTTTTTAACAATTGTAAAATTAATGATAGCTGTTCCTCTTAAAACGATTATGTAATGTAAATGTTATACTGTTCTGGTGCATCTGATTTTGGTCATACTACACAAAATGCTAACAGCAGTTTAATAACTGTTTCGTCTTACACAATCTCTGCAATGAATCCCTTCCTTCCCTCATTCATTAAAGGAAGACCACTCCATTTGGAAGTTTTAAAGTCAAATGCTTCCACTGAGCGTAGAATTTGCATTCCACCATGTCCTCCCATAACCACTAAGGAGTTTCCATCAACAATTGCACAACATTCACAACGTTCCCACGTCATTGGTGGCAGCTCAGTGCTCTCTTCTGTCTCGATATTATAGCTAATGACTGTCTTTTTTCTATTATTATTTGTTTTGTTAGCAGCACCACCAGCTAGAATGACATTTTCTCTGCACTTGACAGTTGCCATGTTGCACACTACGTAAGGCAATGGTGTAAGTTCCTTGAACTCGTTCTTCGTTATGTCATACATAGTAACTTTGGCAGTGGCTTGGTAAACTTCATAACCTCCAAACATCAAAATTTTGTCATTTGCCAAAACAGTACCGCAGCCTTTGATGGGGGTTGTGGGAGGCAATTTAGCCAAAACCTTTGTATTGAAAGGAAAATGTAGTTGGATTTCGTAAATCATATCAGAACCACATGCATCATAACCGCCAAGAACAATAAGTACGCCATTATACTGTACAGTGCGATGTCCTGTCAACGGCCTGGGCAAATTGGCCATGAGATTGGACCAAGAAGGTAGGACAAATGGACTGGCACTGCATTTCAACTGTTCCATGCTGCTCACGATATGATTACCGTCTGAGATACCCCCTGTGACAAGGACATGGCCATTGTAAACAACAGAACTTGCATTGGCACGCTGTTTTTTCATTGGTTTCATCTTTATCCAAGAATTGGTGGTTTTATCAAAGACTTCTACTGAATTTTTTGGCTGGTCGCTCTGGTCATATCCACCAGCAACAACATATCCATATTCTTTGGAATCTTCTTGAGTGGCTTGATCACAGCTGCGACCATTTCCCATGGCTTGATCAGAACGAGCATTTTCCGTTTCTTTTAACCTGTTTTCCATTGCTGTCAAACCGGTTTTCATTTCGTTAACGGTAGTATTCAATTTCTCAACATGCTCACAAAGGAGACCCAAACTCGTTCCAAATTCTTGCACCAAGGAGCCCATCTCTTCACAATTTTGACATTTCACTTTACGAAATCGACATTCCTCGCCCTGGTGTCGAAATTGATCCTCTCTGTTGATCTCGCTTGAACATTCTTCATTCGCGCACACAACTGGAGCCTTACCACACACAGCGACATGACTTGCCAAGTTTCCAAGCTGAACGATCTCCTCACACCCACGCTCGTGATGATCACATCGAATTCTTTGTTCCGATAATAAATTTCTCAGAATACGCGGTACGTCTGCTAGCGATTCCACGGTTAGATCTTGATTACAAGAAGGGCAAGTGTGGTAATTTTGAAGATGCTTGGTGATACAACCTCGACAAAAACAGTGCTCGTTTTTGCACATAACTGGATCCTTGAACACGCACGAACAAATGGCACAGTGTAGGTTCTCGCTTACAACTGTTTCGAACTGTTCATCTGGGTAGCCGAATTCATGGAAATGCTTATTTTCCTCGGTCATTTTAGCTAGTCTGTGACTTTGTGGTGTACAACGGTTGATTACGCGAGAATATTTAACAATTATTCACCGAAGGCGAGGTGATTATCGGTGAATAAAAACCGAGACGAAGTCGAGGTTTTTATTCACGATAATCACCGAGCCTGAGGTGAATAATTGTTTTAGTATAATTTCATAGGTGATTATTTGGAAAAAGTAAAAAAAATGCACATTTCTTCGTCTTTTAATTGACAAAACGGCTTCGGCCGCCATTTTGAAAATCGCTTAGGTGATTATCGCGTAATAATCACCTCAACGGTAACCAATCAGCGTGGAGAATTTTCAATAATCACCTATGTAATTATACTAATGTCAGTTAATGGTCCACAGTGCGATGTTGAATGCTTTCGTGAGTTTGCTGCTACATATGGGTTTACACATGTGACCAGCTCCCCCATCTGTCCACAAGGAAATGGCGAAGTAGAGCGGGCTATCAGAACAGCGAAAGCACTTCTATGGAAAAATGAAGATTTTCATAATGCTCTTTTGATATACCGATTAACTCCAGTGGAGTTGATCGGTATATCAAAAGAGCATTATGAAAATACTCCACTTCAAAATGGCTTGTTCCCAAGTGAACTTCTGATGCATGAGACGCCGTTTGCGACCACAGCTGCCAGTCCATCCAATGAACCTTCAGCCCAATGTAACAATGAGGACCATGAGCAGGTGGAGAGAAAAGAGGCCTCTAGTCGTCTGAAGCAACAAAAGAAAACAAACGACACAGAGCAAAAGATCTTGCACAACTAAAACCAGGTGGTGCAGTTTGAGCGGTAAGAGACCAAGCATGTGATGGACAAGTCGTCCGACAGACACAGTACCCAAGATAGCAAGACCACACATCATTCAGTAGTAGAAGATGAGGAAACTCCGCCGACTTCAAATACAGAAAATCCTCCTCCCTCGCCAACAACAACTGCCAGCTCAGAAGGTTCGCTCGTCCCACCACAAGTTACACGTTCGGTCAGAAACGTAAAACTTCCAAACCGTTTGGACTTATGAGAACGCTAAGAACGATAATGACCTTTTGACATTCTCAGTTAGTTAAAGAAAAATGAACGGTGTTACATTGCCTTATTTTCAAATAGGATAATTGTTGTTATTGTTTCGAAAGTGGAAATATAGGATAGTCGTGTATAGCTATAGGCAGCAATGCATGCTGGGAACGCGGATAAAGGGGAGTCGGCCATATTTGAAAAAGAAACGTTTTGACTTTTGGTTGTTGATATTAAATCTAGACTTTACTACAAATACTACAAACCACCAGTGGCGTAGCCAAGGGGGGGCGAGGGGGGGCGATCGCCCCCCCCCCCAATCGCTTCTAAGACCATTCTCGCGAAAAGTCTAAATCCGTATAGCAGTTGGGGGGGGGGTACGTTTAACGAAATCCAAACTCACAATATAATTATGCCGTTGAGGTATGGAAATTATAGCTACCCAAGTTTGGGTAAAAATATCGAGTGCGCAAATCTGATATAATCATTTATGTCTTGGGAGCGCTGAGCTGGTATTTATATGCTTATATACAAGGTCTTAAAACACGCAAACCATTGAATTGGCAAAGCTGCGCAAAAGCAATTACTATAACTGTCAAAACAATTTACTTAAGCTAACATACTCAAAAGTACTTAACAGATTAAATCTGGGCGAGTCTACTTCCTTAGTATTATCCAATCATGTCATCGCGAAAACTGAATAGTAAATTATAATATGCGCGGAATTTTCTTGCGTGACTAGCGCAGACTATTGTATACATGAAAAATGGCAGAAGCTTCTGTTCCTCAAGATTTTCGTCTTATGAGTACGAACCTTCCTGTCCTTTGCCCAGTGGAAGAGAAGCCAGGGACCACGTTATAAGCAAAGGACCTTGCCAGCCAAGAGATATAAATTTTCCTTTGGATAACCGGGCCTAACCAGAATCGTAAGTTTCTAGTATCGTGGTATGAGAAATTTCCTTGGTTAGAGTATTCTGTCTCGTTGGATAAAGCTTTTTGTTTCGTCTGCAGAGTGTTCAACGCACAGGTGAGTTAATTGTGTGATTTGCGCTTTAATTATTTTCCTAAGTTAGTCCTAACCTTGTTAAGTTGTTTACACTTAATGCGTACCGTTTAATTTGCAATTATACATGGACCATGGCCCTGGTAGTGTTTAATTATATATCAAAATGCGATGTGTAATACTCAATACTGTTGTTTTAAATAATTACTAATTATCGCAAAAGTATGAAAAGTTCCACAAACAAACTATAATTCATCCTCTCTGTATCGTCAAATAGTTCAGTTGATATGTATTATAAAAATACAAGAAACGCTTCTTATATTATGACAACGTAAAACAATGACATTTGTCTTCTTTGCATGCAGACGACGTCGTCAAGGAGTGAACCTACCTTCATCAAAACTGGTTTTAGTAACTGGAAAAAGAGCGAAGTCTTCGCAAAGCACGAGAAGTCAGATTGCCACAAGCATTCACTTCAAGCTCATCGTCACTGGAAATCCCAGAAGCCAATACATCATCAAATAGACGAAGAAAATGAGAGACAAGAGTCATATCGTCAACAAAATGTACGTATTGCCATTTGCCAAATATATATAACTTTGACAGGCCATCT